ACAACTAAGCTTTTCATCATATCGTCAAGCTCTGATAATCGTTATCCAATTTTCTCTGCTGTCCCTAGCCTATTCTGTCGATGTAAGGATCATATTTGGGCAGTATGAATTGTTCCATGCAATTGCAGTATTCAGGTGGTCGTTAGGACACTGACGGGGATCTGACATGGCTCATTAGCGAGGCGCTTGGAGTAGAGGGAGAAAGGGGAGAGACAACGTCTTATGTATTTCGAGATGCAATTAATTGAGTTTATTCACCAACTTCGTGACGGCACCCAATCTGTATTACTTTGTGTTTTACCAACACAGCACGACCTTCGGGAAAGAGTTGATGGAGGCTAGAAAGGCAGAGGCTGAATTTCCCGAGGTTCCCACAAGTCTGCAGCGCCCACCTGGCCGGCCTCTTCGAACGCCTCAGAAGGATCACTATGTCTTCGGATTTAGTCCTAATGTCGGTATTAGGAGAGCTCCGCACCCAGTGGTTTTTTGCCATTTTTCCCGGCTGCCATACACCCGCAAATGGCCATCGCTTAGTTGGCTGGAGAGGGGAGATAATGAAGGGCTAAGGGCTCCTCTAAGTGTATGATCGAATGAGGAATTGTGAGGGGTGGTACTGTTTGAGGGGAGCTGTATGAGAGGCATAGGAGGGGATACACTACTGGTATAGGTATCATTGGCCTGTAGGCAGAGAGGACCTGCACGTCCTACATAGTCATAGACTCAGACAGGACAATAAAATGAATTAACAATTTATAACTCTAGATCGATGTTTTTGGAAACGGATGTACGATGTGAGCTACCAGTTGTGGAGAACATATGTATGTGATATAGGAGAACGGATTATATATTATAATTTAACTGTCGGAAAGTAGTTCAATTTGCCCTGCACTGAGCGCAGTGCATCTCTCGGTTGCTGAGTTATTGCCTTGATGACCCAGCCAATACCACGAACTACACGTTCGCTATGTTCATAGATAGATACAACATAAGAATATAACAACAAGAGCACATTCCTTACTTTCGTACCTTTCGTTTTGCATTGAACTAACCTGACGTATACGTAAATTAAGGCCAATCGACATTAACTGTTACACTGGCACCAGAAGTTATTTTGTATCATGTAGAGACATGATTCATTCATGAGTTGATATTGTTCAGACGATGATGACTATGTCTCAGTGATAGGATAAACATCATTGACTAGTTACTAGAAACCTAGTCAACATCCCAAACACACAACTGAGACTAGCAGAATTTTACTGAGTAAGTAATTATTCTGATGAATCTAGATCTGGAGGAACATAATCTGATTGCTTGGCTCGAGGTATATGAACCTGAGCATGTCATGTATAATAAACTACATGGAAATCTATCTCAATCACAATCAGCATCTTAATTCATGTCACCATCAATAGCTGCAGAGGACAGTTTAATCATTTCCTTATAGTTATGAGCCCGGATTGACGCCATAAATTTTTAAATAATTTCCATTAAAAGCTCGTGAACAAGAATCCCCAATTTAGATCCTTTCAACCCATCACGAACTGCATAAAGAAGTTAATTTTCCAAATTTTATATATATAAATCGTTTAGTAATTCAAAATGGCATTCTTCAAAGCAGGTTCTCTAACAAATGAAACCTACATGGAATGGTTTGATGTAATTCAAGGCCATGCCACAGATAGTGGTATATGGGAATTTGTCGATCCATCCGGAACGGTAATTCACAAAGAGCCTAAGAAGCCTTTATTTGCGGACTACAAATTAACCGCCACAAGATTTGGAGACTTAGATGATGACGAAAAATCCATGTATAAAGAGGACAACGCTCAGTATAGAATCGATATCCAGTCATTCAAACACGACAGTCGGACTATAGGCGAGCTAAGATCGAAAATCGTGGAGTCTATATTTTGTGTGTTCGAACTAGCTGGTTGTCATGTTATCAAAGCTGCTCGGTAAACTCTTTGAATGCTAGTTTAATAAAACAATACAGTCAGTAGATGAATGTATCATATTCACCCACTAATGATGAAGGTTGATTTATGTGGTAGTTAAAAAGGAATAATATCAATATAACTATCTATTGAATGACTACCTGTCAAGAGAGCGATAGTATCTGCATGTAGTAAAATCAAGCAGAGCATAAGGAGAACTGAGAACAGACACGCGAAGAACCCAAAGCTATCCACCGAATAACGGATCAGAATTTGGCATGGAGAATGTGAAAGGGAGAAAAAAAGATGCTGGTAAGGTGGCCGCGTTCCAGGAGTAGAAAACCCATGGACATGTCCAGAGAACGAGAAGCTATCTAATCATCGGGCCTCGACAGACCCTGAACATTAGAAAGCCCCAAATAATGTTATAGATGAGACGACGGCAGAAAAAGGATTATCTATAGGAAGACACGCCCGAATATCCATCGGAACCTTGGAAGGGCGCAAAGAAGTACTACGGTTCAGATTAGAAGTTAGTAAATTAGTCTCAATTCGTACCTGTATTGTAGAAAAGACGCCAGAGTGATCAATCCCAAATGCCAGACTAGATATCCGTCTCTAAATTTCAAACATATGGTCTTGGAAGCTCTTCAGTGAGCAATGGAAGGGGGAGAGGTGCTTCGACAGGCAAAAGATGGGTGTTTTGCGGCAATGGTGAACAGGGCCGATGATATGGAGAGAATGAGACGATGGCTACAACAGTTTCGACTTGCAGAGGAAGGCGAGGTAGCAGTGTCGGGGATAAGATATCGATGTGGAAGGGGAGAGGACGGAATCCACGCTGGCGGAACAGTTTCAACGTACTGCTTGAAGGAAGAGCCAGGAATCCAATATATATTAGACGGATAGAGAAAGGGGCTTTACCGCTTCAGTGTCGCCGTTTTTTGAATACTACAGCTAGACACACCTAAAGGGGCTACACGAAATCAAAATCACCTTGCTTCCTTTGTACAAGGCGTAGCTCCACGCAGATCTAGCTGATCCACACGACAAGCGCGAGTTGTCTCGGCCGAGTGGCGTGCTGCCCATTCCTCCGCGTGATCTGCTTCATCCTAAATGTCAGTGCCGGCAATCTCTCGGCTGGACTCGGCTTTGGGGAAGTGTGATTTGCCGGGTCCTCTGACTATCGCCACATTTTTGGCACTCGTCAGAAGGCGCGTGAGGTTCAAAAATACATGGCTTGACTTTGATTTTATTCAACTGCTTCAGGTACTCAACGGGCCCGTTCAGGTGTATCTAGCTATAATCATTTACAAGAGGACACTTAAGCGGCAAAACCCCCTTTGCTCTATCCGTCTTTTGTGTATTGGGTTCCTGGCTTTTCCTCTAAGCAGTACGTTTACACTCTTCAGCCAATGTGTATCCTATCCTTTCCTGGTCCACATCGTTTCGTCTTTTCGTCCATTTCTATCGCTACTTTTCCCTGCACGTCAAAACTGTATTATCCATCCTTTGCTTTGTATTCACGGTGTAATTCTAGCCACATCTTCTGGGCCCTGGTTAGGTTACGGTGTGTGAGAGAAAGCGAGTTGGTGATGAAAAAATCGATTTAATAAACTCTATGAAGAAGAGAAATCTAAATACAGCTACAAGCTACTTATAACATTTTGTCCATGTTGGTAAAACACGAAGTAATACAAATTGGGTGCCGTGACGAAGTCGGTGAATAATGTCAATTAACTGGTATCTTGAAATACATAAAACGTTGTGCCTCCTTTTCCTTCTCCATCTCCCCTTTCTTCCTCTTCTCCAAGCACCTCGCTAATGAGCTAAATCAGAATGCTGCCAGTGTCCTAACGACAACCTGAATATCGCAAATACATAGAACTAGTTCACACTACTCAAATGTGATCCTTTTACCGACAGTCCACTCTATGAGTCTCGTAGCTTATACCTTTTCCTTTGGTCGAATAATTACCGCACGGCTACGCATTGCCCATATTCACTGTGCTATGACATTGCTTCGATCCCAACAGTCTTATCCTCTGAGTCCTCAACAATGCGCTTAGGTATTCACCTAAGCTTAAACAACGGGTAAACCGTAAGACGGTGGATGTTTGAGGGTGTATCTTTGAACTTCATTTTGTGCTGCCTGTTTGTTCACAAGTAACTATATTTGTCGGTTTCCAACTTTCTAATACGTTCTCATACCAATCATTACAAATCAAAGATATTCGGTACAACGTTGTCGCTGTCGCCCTTTTATCGTTATATTGAATAACTGTCACATGATGTTACTGTGGACACAGGCTTAATCCTAGTAATATTTAGCCTAGTACCTAAATATCAAGGTATAGATTAGTGTTTTCTAGTTTAATTCCAAGTATGTCATGCACTTACCCACACGACTCATTGGGCCTGGGAGAAGTCTAGATCCACCTCATGCAAATATGTTCTTTAATGGAAACGAATATTACAGACACGACGACGGGAATATTGAAGTGGACGAGGAGGTCATGCTTATGGTTATCATTGTTGTAATTAAGGCAGCAACATGACTGCAGTTGACAAATAGTACATATTAGAATAATATGCACTGGCGCCATAAGATATGATTAACCCATATCATCACTCACTGGCATGAATAGTAATTAGCCAATAGATGCCTAACAGTATACATTGGCTTCAGGATCTCCAACAACCTTCCCGTTTAGGTTAGATTAGGAAGTATGTTGGAGTTCACACTAGTGTGCGGAAAACCCCGCTCTCATGTATATAGAGGGACTTCTTGCCACACATATAGAATCATAGCAATTTAATCACAATTAACTATCCATTAAACATCAGTAAACTTCTTCGTATAGTAAACACATTCATCGTATCTCTTAATCAAACTCGAGGCTAGTGTGTAATTCTTCCAATCTCCGGAACTAATTTCAATTATCATTGCTGCAAATTCTATGCCACAGCAGGAGGATCAGGAGGCAGTTGAGCCGCCTGCTACGATTAATCAAGCACTAAATAGCATCAAGCGCCTGACCAGCTTCAAGGAGCATTAGCCAGATGCCAAGTCCATGGAGATCACGGCACTCATGCGCATGGAAAGAAGCCTCCAGCGGCGGGCAGAGCATAAAAGAGGTCAAGGTACATTATATAGCTGATTTACGTGATATTTGACAAAGAAAAATATCACGACTGATGTGCGAAGTGGTGTGAAGATGATGATATTTTTATCGTGACCGGATACTACCTCAGCACCTAGAGCGCATGGCACGAGTAGTCCAGATCTATATGACTCTTCGCTACCTACATCAATGTTTCGTAGAAACCTAGAATAACAAAACTAAAAACAAATACAACCACCATTTCTAAGGTGCTAGTGCCCTGGCAATACACTTAATCCTCGTACCACGCCGAACGGTCTCAAGAAGTATTGCAGTTGACCTTTACATCTTCTGTCCACGATTCAATCTTGCTGTAACACTTTGTTACAGTTAAGAAACGCCAGAATATCTGCCAATCTTCTTGCCACATCATATCCCGGATTGTAGGTCGTAGTTCCTCCGTTTCCGTCCTCCATTTCTGGATAGTCGGGCGACAATCTGCAAAATACCATGGCCGCTTTTCTCGGCCACAATTGCAAAGCATTTCTTCATTCTGGTGTTGGAACTGTCTATGATAGCTGGCGAAGTCGCCATGCCCAGTCCTTGCTGCGATGAGGCGGTGATATGCTCATCGAGGTAGAAGTAGCTCCGGAGGGCGTTTTCTCCGCATCAGCAGGTCCAGATCTTCATACCTACCCCATCTATTCTTAAGCCACTATTCTTCCGTAAGTTTTTGTACTTGGGTATTGACTTGGCGCTAGAGAGCTGTGAAAGTCAGGACTTCGTGACTCTCCCAGATGCACTCCGGTCCCGGTATGTTTCCATCCCGATTATTTGACGCAAGGATTGCCTTTGCCATCGCATCGTCCTTTTCGTTTCCTGGAATGTCGCTATGCCCCGGAATCCTGTATGTGTGTGTGTGTGTTTATTGTGCTACTTGAGTCTATGACTATCTCGCACATTGGGCTCCTCTCTGACCCAGGCCACTCCTTGTACAGTGCTCCTATCCTCTTTTTTTACTTCAAAGATCATTGATATATTCCCCTTGATGAATAGCCATCCAGCTCAGTATTTACCCGTGGAATTCAGCCACCTTTTCCACGGAACCTTCTACCCAAAAAAAATAAAAATGGTAGCAATGAAAGCTGCATACGCAATTAAAATCTGATGCAAAAAAAAAAGAGGCCCAGACACCGGGACCACATGAGGTGCGCATATTCATCTATATCTCCCTTCTGTGTAACAGTCGAAGTCGACTTGATCCAATCCGCCATCTCCGTATCGGGTGCTGGGTACGCTCCTGAAACTCATCGGATGGCTTTTCCTTCATGATAATTGTGATAGGGGGGTGTGTTGAGAGATGAAGACGATACAGACGGCGAAAGTGATTGGGAATCCTCGTCGAAGTGAGGACTTTGTTACTCAATCTCGGCTCTGCAGACTCTGCAGTGAGAGCTGGAGGTTCGTAGGAGACACCACTGACAGGTGTTGAGAATAGTTCCCCCCGGAATCCAGTAGACCTCTATCGATGTTCGAGTCTTGCGTAGTTCCCAGAAGTTCTTGACCTCTACTTGCGAGGAATTTGTTCTGCCATTTTGAAGGGCTCTAATCGCCTCTTGATTGTCAAGGAGTGTTGAAAGAGGTAGAGGATCACTTAAAGCAGAGCGGAGAAGAGTGAATTGATTAATTGTTTATAAAAATATATCAATCAAGACTATAAAAACGACGCAATAATTTAAGTAAAGATCAGTAAGTAGTGGTAAGCCATCATTTACGCTGTATTCTCATGTCATAGAAGTAGAGCCACACCAGTACCTGTTCGTGCAAATCTTACAGGGGAGATGGGACCAGAGTGTAAATAGTGGATGTGGGAATTGCCTTGGGAACCCTTGCGTAATGAAGGTAATCGTTACTAATAAGATTATACTTCATTTTCCAAGAGGTACCTTGATATCTATGCTACCTCCGATTTCTAACGCTGCCTCTAAGCCTCGTACTGCTCCGGTGATTTCCGCATCAAAAACCTCAGCTCCAAGAAGGAAATTTCCACCGCTCGCTATAAATTCACCGCCCCTATATATGGCGTAGCCATAAGCTGAGTATGATGGGACGGTCGATGACCCATCCGAGTAGACACAGAGTGCTCCTGGGGAAAGATCTCTGAGCCAAAACATGATCTGCTTCGCCTTGCAACACCATTCCTTAACATGCTGTCTGAATGTTAGTTGGGAATCAAGCCAAACTCCGAGCCATCGAATATGCGGAGCAGGCGTAATAAGCTGTTCCCCAACCCTAGCCGTTAGGTTGGACGAGTCTAGTTTCTTCTTTGGTCCAACCCCAATGATGAGGAGCTCAGACTTCGAATGGTCGAATCTAATCATGTGTAACTGTTGGAAATTCTGACTCTCGAATTTAGGACTCAACCATTATCTGTTTCGTCTCAGGTTCCCGACAAGATCGACTCTCTCTACAAATGTCCTGAGTACGCTAATCGCGCCTACTGTCGCCTATACGTTTGGATATTTACGTACTACAGTGTATCTTGGCTCATCATGGTAGATGAGAGGTGGCTAGTCATCACTAGGTTAGACAGGCACACGAGGCTAGCGGGAATTTCTCCCTTAGATGTATAAGTCCAATGTTCCCATAGTTGTAAAATATTAAGTCTTCTTCATCATATTTATCCATATAATATCGTACAGAGTATATTTTCCAACAGTAACGATGTCACAGTCTAAGCATAGGCACTTGGGCAACCTTATTGTCAGAGTTGGTTTTAGTTTCAATCTATGGTGAACTACAGATTGAAGAGGATAATAACAGTTACTTTATACATGATTATTATCCAGGCCAATGACACAGTTTTCTATCCGTATATCCGTATCCCCTACTCGTATCACCTTCTCGTGCCCCATTTTCGGACGTGTTGTAATATTAGTATTGCCCCTTATAAGCCCCTGCGTCTGAGAATAGGCTCCTCCTTTTTTCATTCTAAGCCTACGTTAGAAAGCGCAGGCTACAGGCAATCACTGGCTTACAAGCCGTCACAAACGAAGCTAGTTGGACTATCCTGTCTACTTCGACCTGGTCTCAAGGCGAGGATAGGACAGTGTTCCACAGGGTGCGTATGTGGTCTAACGAAGATCTAGGTGGTAGATGAAGGTGATAAGTGGGTCGAAGGGATGACTGGTCTTCTCTAGGAAGAGACAAATGGGTAGATAGTAGCGATAGAGGCTACACGTGGGTCTTGCTGATGAAGAGCTGGAAATAGATAAATGGTCTTCCCGAAGAAGAGATGGGTAAACAAATGTATGGTTAAAGTAATTGAAGAAGACGTTGCGTGAAGAATAATGCTTCTTCACGCCGAGTATTTATATACATAAAATTACCAAATAGCACGTAGCACACAGCCCCTATGCCCAACAATCTGCTACACATCACCTAATGAAACCAGCCAATCCTTATCAGTCTTCCTTGCTGGTTTTAGAAGTGCATTGAACTATTATTTGTGTTTTTAAGTTAGCCGTCTGCATGGCGTTTCATAATACGCTATGCGACAATGATCCATGAAACCTGGGCAGCCTCAACAGCTTCACTAGGATTTTTACCGACTCAAACAATAGCGATGTCGTCTACATATCCAAATCTACAGTTTGGAGTGCCATCCTCGAGTAAGATCGAGATTTGTAACATGAATAGAAGTGGCGAAAGTGGTAATCCTTGAGGGACGCCGCACTCAACAAGCTTCTCATCTGTTACGCCTTCTTCATGTCTTACTGTTGTGAAATCGGTATGAGTTCGATGAGTAAGGCAGCTCAAGGAATATGGAGGCAATTTACGAATAGAATAATATCAATATGAGTCGGAAGAAAATATAGTAAGCTGTAGAAAGAGAAGTGCGATATGGAATGAATTGAATTAATTAACCTGTCTTGGATGCTCCTAGACAGCTTATATACACGTATCTCAGCAATCCAAATCCAAACCAAGTATCAACCCCGAACCTAATCTCATACTCCAGCAATTTCAATGAGAACAGGGTCGGTGAGTCAAACTATACCCGACGGGTATCACATCTCTCCATGTTCCAGTCGAGTCTCGTACAACAAACATGCTCAATAAAGTGGCTGTTACTGATCCCAGTCGTGACTCAGGTGTGAGAACCTTTGTTGTTCCAATCCTAGGGAAACTTCAAACATCCAGGGTGTGAATTTCCAAGACTTACCAAGACTGTTCGTTGTGACAGAAAGGATTCTACCTAGCGACAGTGGAGTATCGGCCAGCCTTGACTTCGCATTCGTGCAAGCAGCCTATTGTGTAGAGCTGCATTGAAGGCACCTTGAATATCCAGCGTGACCATATCTGTGACTTTGTTGGATCTCATTGCAGCTTCTGCATCGTATGACACACAATACCAGGTCGACTGCTGAGCATCCTAGTAGCGCGCCGAATAGTTGGGAAGGGACTACCTTGTAATTTAGCGCAAGCCAGGACATCTGTTTAGCTATTAGTCTTTCCAGTCCCTTACCTAAGCTGGAGAGTAACGATATAGGTCGCCATCCTTTTGGTCTGGAGAGATCTCGTCCAATTTTTAGGAAGTAGTACAACTTCCGCTGCCTTGAAAGATATTGGAAAATATTCCAAGTTCAGACATGCTTGAAAGAGGTCCCTGACATATGTTCCAATCGAGCTCCAGCAAGCCTTGAATAGTTGGACGGTGATTTTGTCATACCCTGGAGCCGTTTCTTTACTTCCTATGGTTGACGCTGTAACTTCCAACGAGACCCCTCTGTTCCATGGGATAGACTCTGGTTGACCATTCTCCCATGTTTCTACATCTCTTCTAGCGTCGAATCTTACCTGGAGAGAAACACGCAGTGCGATTTTCCGCTCTATTGGATCTGAAAGCCACTGATTTGGTGCTACCTGGAGAGGAGGAGACTGTTTCGTGGGCTTTGGTTTGTCCCATCGCATGAGCTTGAACACTTGTGCTTCTGTCTCTGCTGCTTCGACTTGCTTTGTCCAATATTCGCGTTTGGCTGACTTCACTGCGGCTCGGAAAGCCCTATGTAA